GAAAATAACCAAGGGTTTCTGACTTTGGAGATTCCCAATTTGTTTATGGGTGGTTTTATTGGTGGAAAGAAAGAAGAAATATAACAGAACTATTAAAATTGAAACTAGCTGGCGCAGGAACAAAAAAAATGGCGTAGCAACAAAAGAAGGGAAACTGATGGACTTTATATGGAACAGATGTTAAAAAAGAACTAAAAAAAGTTTTTTTTTTCTTTTTAAAGAGTTTTAAATTTGACAACACTGAATTTGAAATGGAATACTTATGGACAGATAGGGAAATGAGGAAATATATTTGGTTGTGAGATAAGAACATAAAACAGTTTGATTAAAAATGGAAATGTAATGTTTAAATGTTTAAATGAATTCTGAATATTAATAGGTGGTATTTTTTAAAAAATTTGGCAATTTTGAATTTGAAATGGAATATTCATGGTTTAAAAAAGAATATATATATATATATATATATATATATATATATATATATATATATATATATATATATATATATATATATATATATATATATATATATATTTGGTTGTGAAATAAGAATATAAAATAGTTTGATTAAAAATGAAAATATAATGCTTAAATGTTTAAATGAATTTTGAGTATAAACAGGAGGTGCTCATAGAGTAATAAATATATATACTAAAGTGGATAAAAATGATGTTTTTATAGAAAATAAGAATATGCATGTATATTGGATAAATTTAAGAAAAATTTATAGCACAGGAGAGAATATATGGAGAATATATTTGATGTAACATGTTTCTATTCTAAATTGGTGGGAGATATGGAGGAGAATACACTGAAAAGCAGTCTATACAATATGCTGTGAATCAGCCAAAATAATAAAAATGGAGTGGAGGAGAATACGCTGGAAAACAGCCAAAACAAGAAATGCTGGAAATCAGCCAAATAATACTTGGAGGAGTGGAAGAGATTATGCTGGAAAACAGCTAAAATAAAATATGCTGTGAATCAGCCAAATAACAGGTTTAGGAATGGAGGAGAATATGCTGGTAATCAGCGGGAGAAATGGAGATTATGCTGGAAAACAGCTTTAAAAAATGCTGTGAACCAGCCAAACAATAGATTTAGGAGTAGAGTAGAATATGCTGTTAATCAGCGGGAGGAATGGAGGAGATTATGCTGGAAAACAGCCAAAATTAAAATGCTGTGAATCAGCCAAACAATAGATTTAGGAGTGGAGGAGAATATGCTGGAAATCAGCCAAGATAAAATATACTGGGAACTAGACAAAACAATAAATGGAGACGAGGAGGAGAATATGCTGGAAAACAGCCTAAAGATAAAAACATTGGAAATCAGTTGGGGTGAAAAAGAAGATGATGGATGATAATTAAATAATATGAAATGATTTTGAAATGATTTTATGTAAAATGAGAAGTGTAATTGATGATAAGCCTAAGAAAATTAGATGTAAATTAATAGTAAATTAATACAGGTTAAGATAGAGATTTGATAAAATGGGTTTTAAGATTAAGGAATATATATGGAATTTTGATTTATAAAATGATAAAAAAAATAGAATTGTGTTTATTTGGAAACTAAAGATTGCATATAAAAAGGAATTGTGTTTATTTGGAAATTAAGATTTATGGTAATACAATAGAATGCTAAATGTTTAGATTAAGATGTTAGAATTAGTGATAAAAATTTGTGGTTTGACTTTTATTTTAAAAGATGTAAATGGATGAAATTTGGAATCGAGCTTGTTAAAGAAGTGTGAGCAATTGTACCTATTTATGACTGGACCAAACCTTTGCTCTTAAAAGATATATTTTATGTTTAAGATGTTTAAATATATATATATATATATGTTTTTCTTTCTTTTTCGTAGGTTTTATGTGTATGTCTCTTTAGCCAGGTTCTACCTACGTAAACCAAGATATTATGCAGCCCTAGTTCAGTGAAATCACAATTCACTAGTTTCTGGGCTTTTTTTTTTTCTCTTCTGGCAGCCAGAAGATAGGTACGTAGGTAGAACCTGGCTAAAGAGACATATATATATATAAAAAAAGAATTATGACCTCTGCTTACTTTCAAGAGAAACTCACCTTGCTTTAAATATTATTTTCATTACTAAAATTGAAAATGTAGATTTATTTTTCTTGGTTACCACAATATTACATGGTTTCTGCAGCTGAACATTCCTAAATAGACATTTTAATTAGTTATATTTATTTTATTGTTTCCAACTTCAAGATTATCTTTTGTTGAAAACTAATTTGGGTCTGCTTTTCCTTCCTACCCCACAAAAAGTAACTTTTCACCCAAAAAAAATCTTGTTTTAACCACAAGAGAGCACTCCAACACAAGAAATGTGGGACAGTGTGTTGCTGTTTCCCAGTTTTCTTTTCCTTAACCAAAGGAGGGCACTCCAACATAAAAAAATGTTTTTAACCATAGAATCTAACAGGATTTTTTTTTCCATTTTAACCATGATTATATGTGAACGACATGAATTTCTTATAACAAAGAAACTTTTTGCTTTTTAATTCTTAACATATATTCATTCAATTTAGCTTTAAAACTTGCTTTGTGTATAGTGTTTTTGTGTAATATACCAATTATTTTATTTAATCTTTTAAAACAATCTCTTGATTGTTTCATTTAATTTAATCAGTACAAACAGATATATTAAACATAAGATTACATATTATTTTTCAAAAATGTGTGAAAATCAACAGAGCAAGGACCTTTCTAAATTGGAAGAATGATACTTCTTCTCCAGAATCTCAAAAGTCTTATTTATATCAGAGATCTATGTATTGGACGATAATCTTCATTTCATTATCTTGGCAATCACATCAGGAAATGCAAACAAATTTCAATTCTCCTCATTATCAACATTTATGACAGACTGGTAATTCAAGTAGGATCTGAGAATAAGTGGATCAAAGAGTAGAAGATTCAGAAATTTTAATAGAGATAACTAAAGAATTTGGAGGCAAAACTCAAATTAGTGGAAGCAGAGTTGCATTAAAACAATAAAATACAAATATAATACAAACGAACTATTCCATTCTATATATACATCTGCTTAAATGAAAGTAAAACTTTAGCGTGCACCCAGGATGATGCAAAAAGATGCCTTAATCTTTTTATGTAAAGAAAAAAATATGAAAGAGACCAGAACTTAAATAATCAATTGGCCTTTTTGGGAATGAAGGGGGGGAAGGAGGGAGGATGGAAGAAGGTATGGAGGAAGGAAAGAAGATTGCTGATGCTTGCTGCCAGCTTCCCACAAAGAAGTTCGATGGGAAATCACTCTCACTGATTTTTTGTCCGTCCATTGTCATTATGTTTTTCTATTTAGGTAAGGTAATATCTCTGAAACAATGACCCAGCAAGTGTTGGATTGTTCAGTAATCTAGTATTTGTATATTAAACAGTGGAACCCCCATTTTGAACAGGGAGAGACCTAATGAACTGTTACTATTACAAATTGAAGGGTCCCCAGGAATTAAAGAGCTTCTTTCAGACAAATGTAACTTCTAAAACTTCCCTAACTACTAAATGTTCTCCCCCTCCCGTGCATGGTTTGTGAAAGACCAAATGGATCAGTCAGAAAGCTAATGGAAGAATGTTCTGTAGATGGATGGGGCCAAAATAGAATTTTTTAGCTTGAATTAAAGAATTTGTTAAAACACAAATGCTGCATTCCAATTTAAGAACCGTATCCCACTGATGGCGGCAGTATCATGGTTGGGCCTCGTTTGCTAAGTCTCTGGACCAGGACAGCTTGCCATCATTAATGGAATTTATTCTGAATTATACCACCAAATTCTACAGGATGTCAGGGTATTTGTCTATGAACTAAAACTAAAGAACAAGTGGATCATGCAGCAAGACAATGACCCAAAACATACAACATGCATAATTAAAAATGCTTAAAGTAGAAGAAAGTTAATGTTTTGGAGTGGTCAATGAATATTTTCATCTTGTTTCCTTGAAAGCAGTTGCCATTGTTTCTTCCATAACATATTTTCAGTTTTGCTTAATATTTGCATGGTTTTAATACTAAGGTCAACTAGGTGCTGCCATTGCTTGTAGACATAGCCTACTTATTTTCTCACACTAGCCTTACTTCCCTCAAGTCTAATATCCATGAGCTTTGTGATACTATATAAATCACAAAGGGGGGAAGTCTCACTAAGCTCAATAGAGTTTAAAGTATGGACAGAATGCTTAGATATATTGGTGACGGAGAATTTGTCCCACATTATCTGTTCTCAATTGTACCCTTAAAATTCAGAAAACATAAAACAAAAACATTACAGTTTGAGGATTTAAGGAAAATAATGTGTTTCCATTTTGCTTTCCTACTAGCCCCTACCTATAAACATGTAGTGACAACATATTTTTCCCCCATTGGATCCAAAACATTTCCTGCATCTTATTTCCTTGCAACAAGTCAAGGCTCAATTGCTTTAAACTGTACTACTATGTTGAAGTAGCATTTTATCAGATACTGTTGAAGGGAAGTCTCACGGGTATTAAAATAAATCTTAGCTTTGACACCTATTATATTTTAATTATATCAAGTTAATATAATTATATCGATTTCATATCATTATATTAATAGACTTAAATCACGATTAAGTTCTCCCAAGGAGCTTTTATAAAGCTTAAGACAGATAAACATGCCACACAGCTGCCTCTACGAAGGCTTCCTTTGCAACCCTCTGGGCATGTTTCACTGATTTTTGTAGTATTAATTCGGAATACAGACGAGCAGCAGAACGGCCGAAGAGAAAACCCGCTTCGCCAAGGGGCTTCAGGAGACGGATGGAGAAGTCTCAGAATAGTTACCAACAGAGCAGCTACTGCTCTCAGAAACACGGAATCATAAATAAATACGGCCGAGAGCAAGCTTAGATTACACACCCAGGTGGAAAACTGGCCGCGGGCTCCCTCTCCTCTTCTTGCCTTTGGACTCTCCTCCATTATCAGTCCCCCACACAGCTCACCTTTCGAGAAGAGAAGAGCCGGCATGAAGAGAAGACTTCGCCAAAGGCAACTGGAAGCCACGGCTGCCAAAACGCTGCACCCTCTTCCTCTCCAGCGCGCGCTTTCCTCCCGTTACTTGGCAACCAGCGAAGCGCGAGCTCACCCTGAGTCCGGAAGAAGAGATCGGCGCATGATTAGGCGCGCGTGCGCAGCAATCACGAATCCTTCGAATCCTCTGGTGGAGAGAAGGAAACTGTAGAGCAGAGGTCTTCAAACTTGGCAGCTTTAAGATTTGTGGACTTCAACTCCCAGAATTCTCCAGCCAGCAAAGTTGGCTGAAGAATTCTGGGAGTTGAAGTCCACAAGTCTTAAAGCTGACAAATTTGAAGACCTCTGCTATAGAGCTATATACCTAATACCAGTATAAGTTTGTATACAACTTCTTGCATTTCTGTCCCTCTCGTCATTAGTAATGTTTCATCATTGCATCCTGTACTAAGCACATTGGACTACAAACATATTCCACAGTTCTTGGTCCACAACTATAGTTTCCTCATCCTTTCATTTAAGATTAATGTTTTTCAGATCTTCCTAAATGTTTGGTGCCAGGTTTTATTTGGCCTTCCTCTTTTTCTCCGGCCATCTGGTGGTATCCAATTGATTGCAGTCTTTGCTGGACATTGCTTACTCATGCGGAGCACATGTCCAGCAAAGCACATAATATGATCTAGGTTGCTGTGTTTATGGTGGACATGATCCATACTGAGTGCATTTGTTGGAAGACAGCAGTTGCTTTGCCTATTCAGCATTTTTTTTTAAATTTGATTTATATGCCACCCTTCTCCGGAGACTCAGTGCGGATTACAATGCGCTAAGCAATAGCCTTCATCCTTTTGTATATTTATACAAAGTCAGCTTATTGCCCCCACAACTGGGTCCTCAATTTACCTACCTTAGAAAGGATGGAAGGCTGAATCAACCTTGAGCCTGGCGAGATTCGAACCTGCAGTAATTGCAGGCAGCTGGTCTTAATAACAGGGTGCATTAGACCACTGTACTACCAAGGCAATTTTATTGCCCAATCTATATCCATGATAGTACCAAGATAGTTGAATTGTTCCACAAATGCTAAGACCTGTCGTCCTAATATTATCAGAGTGCTTTCTTGAACATTGCCAACTTGCACCAGGTTGGTCTTGTCTTCGCTATTTTAAACTCACTTTACTTGTATCGTTTCGTGTTTATTTATTTAAGAAAATTTATAAGGCTTCCCAACTCACTCTCAGTGACTCCAGGAGGCTTACAAGGATAAAAACTCAATACAAAGCAATAGAGAGAGCAATAACCTCCCACGCTCCTGGCAACAACAATTAAAGGAGCCATTTGATAGGTTTCATATCATTTTGGTGTCACCACACCCGTTGGCAGAACCAGTCTTCAGGGCCTTGCAAAAGAGTGTCAAAGTGTCACCAAACTTACCTATGCAGGGACAATGTTCCACAGGGAGGGATCCATAACAGAGAAGGCCTTTCTTCTTGGTTCTTCAAATGGATCTCCTTAGGAGAAGGGATCCATAGCATTCCCTGCTTCTCTGGTCTGGTGAGTCAAGTAGATCTGATTGGGAAAAGATGGTCCTTCAAACAACCATTGCTGAGTGGGAGCAGAAAGTTTACTTCCCCTCGGTTTCAAAGTGGTGGCTACAACTACCTGCTAATTGCCATGATTCCTTTTTTAAAGATGTTTTTTGCTCATCTGTGCTGAGATGAAAAATTATCTACTGTTCTCAGTTCTGCAGTAGAGCCCTTCAAACTGATCATCCACACTCCATCTTTTCATGCCTTAATTGTATGGTGAGAGAATCAGTGCTGCAGTTGGAAGCCAAGATAGAAGGAGTTATTAGTATGCTCATGACCTTGAGTTATTTATAAAGCAATAAAGATGGGATAAAAAACAAAAATAAAATAAAAATATTCCTTGTTTCATTTGTTCATGCACAGAAGGACCAAGATTAAAACATCAAACTTTAATTTACATAATTTTCTTGTTATCTCAATGTGTTATTTTTCACTGATCTCTGTTTTCTTTTAGAAACTCATTTAGCTTGAATATTAATCCTCAAGCATTTCAACTATACGGTTAGTTGAGTGAATTCTACTAGTTAATGCTTAATATTGTTCTTTCTGAATTGGAATGTGTTTGTGGCCTCTGGCATTACGACTTTTGTTAAATTGTTTTTTATTGTTTTTAAGCCTTATGTGCAACCCAGAATCAGTCAGGAAATGGTTATAAATTGTGTAAATAAATAAGTAAATAACTACCATTTAATAGTATAGTAATTTTATTACTTTTATTACTTGTAAAAGTTGGCCCAATAGCTTTTCCCCGTTTTCTAGTTTTTAAATAGTATATTACATAAAATTACATTAATCTAATTATTTTAAGCTATGACTTTTTTCTGCAAAATTCTAACAAAGTAATTAACAGAATATCTTAATATCTTCTGCGTATGCGGCAGTTTGAACCCTCTTCCCTTATTGAAAAGCGCGTGATTTCTACGTGAACATAGAAATAAAATCTTATCCTTCTCTCGCTTTTGTTACTGGATGTAAGGCTGAGGATGACGGATGGTTCAGTTGGCTTCTGGGAAATGTAGTTCTTTTGAGCGGGTCAAGCGCCCCATTATCTTTGCCTTAGAGAGTGTTGGAACTACAGCTCCCAGGTGACAACAAGAGGTTGGAAAATAGGGGGCGGTGGCTTCGCCTCCTTTCATTACCTTCCGAACGAGACGCACTGTCTCTTTGCTGGTGCTGAGACTGCGCTTAGAGGTGACCTCGAGGAAGGAGGCCTATCGCGTTTTCCCATCATGGTTAGTACTATTTCACTATCTCTTTCGCGGCTGGAGGACAGATAGTTTGGCGAGATATAAAGCGTAGTATTGTTATAATTTACAAATCGCAATAAAAGAGAAGGGCTTGACAATCACTAGCGTGCAATCACTGACGTGTAATTCTGTAACCGGAGGCGTCTTTCCCTAGGAAAAAGCAAGGAGGTGGCCAAAGGAGTGCAATGAATTCCTTTGCAACGGTAATTCAATGAACGAACCCGTTTAAATGTGGGGAAGCTGGAATTGCTTCCATTTATATAGGACTCGGGTGAAAGTGAAATGTCCGGAATCAACTCTCGTATTACAAAATGGGCGCAAGGGGAAGGTTACTCCATTAATTAACCCTGCTCTTAGAAGAAAAGAACCTAGTCCTAGTGTGGTTAATTTTCGGAGACGCGGAGGTGGACTTGAGGTAGAAGCGCAAAGCAGTGAAACATGGGAGTAAGGAAAAGCTAATTAAATGGCACCTGTGCATTAGTTGCACAACAGAGGGAAGGATAACTGCGCTATTTTAACGCAGGATCCATGTTGCAAGGACTAACTAAATCACATTGAACGCATTTTCTGGCTTGAGTTTTTCGAACAATTGTGGGTCTGCTTTTTTAAAACTGGGCAGTAAGAAAGGGTATGCTATTTATAACTCCTGCATTCTGGAGAAAAATCCTTGAAAAGAAATGCATTCTCTTGCTGATACCAGTTTAGAAATTTAGAATTTAGAAAATTTGTACTGTGTGTTGCCTGGTCTCTTAATGTTTCTGGCCAGTTCACAAGGTGCTGACATCTTTCTGAAATAGCAAAAGTAATAGATACACAGAACACCAAATGACTAACAAGTTAGGAAGAGGAGGAGATTCACCTATTAAGAGAAGCATTGTTTCCAGTTGGAAATCACTATCACAAGTATTCAGATATGGTGCTTCAGACAATGCTTCAGAAAATGCTGCCAAATTGCCCAATCACAGCCCCCCCCCTTTGATGATTTCCACTATGCAGCTGCTGCAATATTTGACCTAATGGCATTGCTGTAATGACTTGCCTTGTGACTTTCAAGGTGATCTTCAAGTAGGCACATGCTTCATTTCCAAATTCTTGTCAGAATTATTGTCTCAGAAAGGTTAGAAAGTAACAAGTTTCTAGAGTCAGGAAAGAGATGTATAAATTGCACTGTACATCGAGCTTTGAGGATGTGCCATTTGCTCCTTGATTAGTGACATTTAAATTTCCCTGATTGAAGGAGAAGTGCAGTCAATCCTCACACCTTTGCTTATAGGCTGTGGCTTGGAACTCTTTATAATGATAGGAATGCTTTCTGAAATGTCCTGACTTGAATGTCCAGCTCTCTTACCCAAAATAGGTATTATTAAAACAGTACAAAATATTCTATCATATATATATATATATGACTTTATTTTTGACATCGTGATTAAATGGTATGTAGAAATTATAGGGGAAAAACATAATTCAATTGTTGCATAAATCGTTACTGCTTTTGCTAATGGTTCATTAATAATATTTTTTGTAACTTGCACAGATCACTACTTTGTTCAGACAGGACAAAGCATATGTTTGTATGCTAAAATTAATAGTTCTGAACTGTTACTTAAATTTATCCTGCATGTATTGCATACATTCATCTTGCATACATTGACATTATACAGGGCATGCTCTTTGTTCCTGGTTGCTTGTACTGCAAATTCACAATCTTACCAGCTTTCACCTATGAGCTGCCATGCTAATGCAACAGCTTGTTAATAAGTCCCATCATTGTCAGCACTGCATGATTGCCTTATACTGTTGCAATGATCATTGGTTCATAAGATCAGTTCTTGTGCAGATGTGCCAAGAGCTATAAATTTATCCAACTAGCATTTGTAGTGCTCCTTGCACCAGTGCTTTTTGGAGATAAGATTTGAATATTGTACTATTGCTAATACAAAGTGTTAAGAAGGTAGGAAATGGCTTATCTTGTGTCATGCAGGGCAGATTATAATTTATTTACCAACCCTTCTCTATGAATAGTTGAAAATAGCTAAAGAATTCCTGGCAGACTGACTAGCTCTCTTTTAAATGTCACCTGCATTTAACTTGCTGGTTACAATAGCAATTTTTTTTCATAATCCTCTTTCAAAGCTTTATGTTCTTTAAAAATGTCATAAAGTTCTGTACATTGCAAATAACAAGAGGAAATGTTTCTCCCAGAGCTATATATTGGATTCTACAAATATCCTTTCTTTTCTAGTCGGAACCAATCAAAGTCCTAGTGACCGGTGCTGCTGGACAAATTGCATATTCTCTACTCTACAGCATTGCAAAGGGTGATGTTTTTGGCACTGAACAGGTAACGGCTTAAAAAAAATACAGTATTTTTTTTTACAGTAGTATACCCCTACACAGCAGTAATGATGCAGCACATTATGGACCTCTTATGCCAAAGAGTTTTGACTGGTGGGAATCTAGGAGAGGCTTATCTTTTGTGGCCAGGCCCCCTTTTAATATCTTGCCCCTGAAGATACAGTCTGCCCCCCCACCCTTTCAGTCTTCCAGAAGGACATTAACACTAGGCTCTACTGGTTGGCTTGGGGGGCCTTGGGGTGGGAGCTGTGTGTTGGAGGTGGCTGGTGAACTAATAGGAATTGAAGCCGCCACTGTGGGTTTTCCAGTTTTGTACCTAATCTTGTTAATATTTTAATATTTTTATTTAATTATAAGCCACCCAGAGTCTCTTTATAGAGAGAGATGGGTAGCATATAAATTTGTTAAATAAATAAATGATCTTAAAGTGGTTGGATTGGGGTTTCTCAAGGACTTTCCCAGTAAGAACAAGATGTCTTGAAGCTACCCCCTGTGAAAGAAGGAATAACACCATTGCCCTGTATTTTGAATATCAAGGTCAATTGAAAGGATAATAGGAATCCAGTCTATTTATACCTATTCAATTTTACAAAAGATTTGTTCTAAATGACAAACCCAACTATTTTTTATTTTACAGCCTCTTATTCTTGTGCTGTTGGATATCACTCCCATGATGACTGTTTTGGATGGCGTACTTATGGAATTGCAAGACTGTGCTCTTCCTCTTTTAAGAGGTGACAAAAAATCAGAATTAGTCTTACACAAATGTTTAGGTTGGATGAGCTAGATATTCTGAACACAAGATACACTGCCAGTTTCACAACCTTGTTTATGGAAATAAGTATCTTGCTTAAAGGAAAAGAATTACCAGATTTAAAGAAACAATACTTCAAGTGTGCTGGGGCATTTCATTTGTAATACATGTAGTCTTTGACTTATGGTTATTTGTTCAGTGATCGTGCAAAATTTCAACAGGGCTGAACAAAAGGAATTATAAGCAGTGATGGAATTCATTTTTTTTTACTACCGGTTCTGTGGGCATGACTTGGTGGGCATGGTGTGGCTTGGTTGGCATGGCAGGGGAAGGATACTGCAAAATCTCCATTCCCACCCTACTCCAGGGGAAGGATACTACAAAATCCCCATTCCCTCCCCACTCCTGGGGAAGGATATTGCAAAATCTCCATTCCCACCCCACTCTGGGGCCAGCCAGAGGTGGTATTTGCCGGTTCTCTGAACTACTCAAAATTTCAGCTACCAGTTCTCCAGAACCTGCTGAATAGCACCCCTGATTATAAGCGCTACCCAAAGTTACAGCTGTTGCAGTGTCCCCGGAGTCACATAATCGAAATTTGGTACATTTACAATTTCAGAAGGTGCTGGAACTACCTCCACCTATCTCTTCTCTCCCCCTCATCACATATGCCCACTTGGCCCACCAGTGTGCAAAACTGCCAGGGAGGCCTTGGCCAGGATACCTTTGCCGGCTCGCAGCCCCCACTCAGGAGGCTTCAACCCGCTCCCTTCCCCATCCTGGGAGGTGTTTGTCCCTCTTTGCCCTACCAGTGTGTGCAAATCACTTCATTTAACTTTGATATTTTTCTCCAGTTATTTAATGATATGCAATGTTCTTGCTGAGGCTGCCTCATGCCATTCCCTAAGTGGGTTCCATTCTTGCAGTACTTTGGAAGTCGTCTCCAAATTGTTGATTTGGAGGAGACATCTAAAAGACCACAAAAATGGAGCCACTTTTGCAGTCCTTCAGAATTCTCCATTTCCAAATTGTTCAATTTGGAGAAACAGATTTATGAAGTACTGAGAATGAAGCCTGGTTGGAGAATGGCGTGAGGTGGACTTGGTAAGAAAGCCATGCCTAACAGGCTGAGCATATCTGTCAGCATTTGGAGAAAAACACCAAAGTGGGGTGCTTTGCTTGTGCTGGTTGGAGAGGGAGTGGGCAGAGACCTCACATGCCTGGCAAGGTAAGGAATGGGCTGAAGCTTCCTGGGCCAGGTAGGAAGCAGGTAGGGGCTGCCTGGTCAATGGCAGATTTATGCTGCACTGCAGGACCATCACCACCCCAAACTCATACCACAGCCCATGATGGATCTTTCGCCTCCACACCCTTTATTTCAGACTCTTGACTGCTTAACTGCTTAACCAGTTAAACAGTGCCAATAACAACCAACCAACAACAAGCACTACCAGGAGAGCCAGGATTATGGTTGTTCAGTGAAGTAGTCACATAATATCTTGCTTAATGATTGCTTCACTCAATGACCAAGATTCTGCTCCCAGTTGTTCTAAGTCAAGGAATAACTGTAATGAACATTTTAAAATGAAATTATTAAAAATATTTTACTTTATGAAAGTTACATATAATTAAAAATCAACTCTCTTTATGCTGATTTTACTTTCACAAATAATTTCAGTGGTGAATGACCCATTTATTGTTGGTTTTCCAAGATCTGATTGTATCTAAGCTTTATTTTGATGACCATAAGAAAACAAGCATCAAGAATGAGAGCCATGAAATTACATTTCATTAGACATAAATTCTGCCTTTTTTCAGATTGAAGCATTATTTTTTATTCTGATAAGCTGGCATCTGAAAACCATTACAGAAGTTCTGATTTACAATGAAATTTCAACTAGAACTGTGTTCAGCTATCAGTAAACAGCTCACTGATTTTTCTCCACAATAGAGCCATGACCTCATCTTTTCGATGGGATTGTTGATCTCTTTCTCTCTGCTTGTAGAGGTAATTGCTACTGACAAAGAAGATGTTGCATTCAAAGATCTTGATGTAGCGGTTCTGGTTGGTTCAATGCCAAGAAAAGAAGGCATGGAACGGAAAGATCTACTGAAGGCAAATGTGAAAATTTTTAAGTCCCAAGGAGCAGCATTGGACAAGTATGCAAAGAAGACAGTTAAGGTGACTATATGTGACATAGTTTACTGCCTGACTCCCTCAACTAGATCCAGTTGGTTTACAAAATCAGCATTCATGCTTTCATCAATGTATTCTCCCACTCCTCATGATGTGAAAGAATTACAAATAATGTTAGGCCAATAGTGGGACATGGGGACATTAAAAAACAAAATTGAAAGAAATAGCATTTTCTCCAGGGATAAATATTATAGAGTTTTGTATATTTTACTTTTCCTATTGTTCATTAGCCTGCCTGTAATTAAGTCTGACTTTTCTTTTCTCTATCAGGTTATTGTAGTAGGTAATCCAGCAAACACTAATTGCCTAATTGCTTCAAAATCAGCTCCAACCATACCAAAAGATAATTTCAGTTGTTTAACTCGTCTGGATCACAACAGAGCTAAATCTCAGGTAGGCTGAATTTTTAAATTCCACCTGGAAGTTAGTATATAAATGAAGATCTTTTTCTGAAAGCAGAGCATTTAACTGAAACATACTTGAAATTGTCAAAATGACATGGGCAGTTTCTTCTCCCTAACTTCAACAGATTGCTCTGAAAGTTGGTGTGACTGCTAAGGATGTCAAGAATTGCATCATCTGGGGAAATCACTCTTCTACTCAATATCCAGATGTTAACCATGCCAAAGTGAAAATACAAGGGAAATATACTGGAGTTTATGAAGCTGTGAAAGATGATAACTGGCTGAAAGGTGACTTCATTACCGTAAGTAATGGTTTTAGACTTTTATACTTCCATTTTCACTTTGAAAACATACAGCCTGGGTAGCAATATCTTGGGGACGGATATGTCATTAATTATTATTTCAAAGAGCAGCAATGAAAATCTTGTATCTCTGTGTCATGGACAAAAACAAAATCCATTTGTAGTCTAGATAAAAATGTTGGTATGGTTTCTAATACCCTTATTTTTACCTTACTATGAAATCCCTCTTTTATAAGGATGCAACTTATTTGCCTATATGGATGGTAGCTCAAATTATTTATAAAATTCAAAATATCCTATGTGTGTCTCGATTAAAAGTTTGTGTTGCCTGAATTGCCTCCAAGCTGTTATCTCCCCACAAGTTCCAGATAAAAGGTTCATGGTGTTAAGATTCTCTCTCTCTCTCTCTCTCTCTCTCTCTCTCTCCCTCTCTCTCTCTCTCTCTCTCTCTCTCTCTCTCTCTCTCGTCAACAATAATGTGTGTAATACGTTCAAGCTTAGTAGTTTCCTTGCCATATAATTCTAGAATTTGAGACAGTAGTGAAATCCAATTTTTTTTACTACTGGTTCTGTGGGCGTGGTGTGGCTTGGTGGGTGTGGTGTGGCTTGGTGGGCATGACAGGGGAAGGATACTGCAAAATCCCCATTCTCTCCCCACTCCAGAGGAAGGATATTGCAAAATCTCCATTCCCACCCCACTCCAGGGGAAGGATATTGCAAAATCTCCATTCCCACCCCACTCTGGGGCTAGCCAGAAGTGGTATTTGTCGGTTCTTCGAACTGCTCAAAATTTCCGCTACCAGTTCTCCAGAACCTGCTGGATTTCACCCCTGGTTTGAGACATTGGAATAATATCCTAACTAACTAGTGCAATAAACTTCTGGGTCTAGGATTCTCTATAAATCATTGAGGACTAACCACAGTACTTGCAAATAATCCTGTGTTATACTTTTTAATACTTCAGACTGTTCAGCAACGGGGGGCAGCTGTTATTAAGGCCCGGAAACTGTCAAGTGCAATGTCTGCAGCCAAGGCTATCTGTGATCATGTGAGAGACATCTGGTTCGGCACTCCAGAGGTAAGCATTGCCCACGAGCATTTGAGCTTAGACAAGAACTCTTCAAAACATAATAATTAGCTCAAGTTTTAGCTCATGTTTTCTTGAATTTTTTTGTAGGGGTGGGATGTGATTTAATAAGTATAAAGAGAATGAAGATACTAATTTGGCCTTTTGGTATACTATTAATGTAATGAAATGTTATAGGACACATTTTGTATTTTTACACAAAGCATTAGAGCATGAATTATTGCACTGGTAGAAACATATTAATTATTTTTGATTTTCTTTTAAAGGGTGAATTTGTTTCTATGGGTGTTATTTCTGATGGGAACTCCTATGGTGTCCCTGATGATTTGATCTATTCATTTCCTGTTGTATTATCAAAGGTGTGTAAAAAGTATATATTTAATTTTATACCTGAATAAAAGTCCATATTTACTTTTTATAATGTGACAGTTTCTAGCATGCTCCAGTAAGCAGAACTCACAGCTCCAATTCTCCAATATTTTGGCAAAATATCAATGCCTATAAATCTATATTGAGTAAAGAATATTCCTAAATGTTGGTCCACAGTGGCAAGTTAATGTGAACATGTGCATTTAAAGATACCATAGACTTGCAGTATTTGAATAGTTATTTCTAAAATTATTGATATACATTTGACAAGTATAAATAAAAATGTATCTTGAAATAACAGATGCAGTTAGTACAATATTTCATCTTTATCTTATAAACACATGCATTTGCTCTAAAAAAAGACTTCAATTCTGATTTGATGAGGAGAGTGTAGTTAATCTAAAAATCTTTTTCTTTCCAAAAACAGTTTAGTGTATTAAATCTATGGTAATCCAGTGTCTATAAATAGGCATATCATATGTAAAAATCAGGCAATCAGCAAAATAATACCAAAATACTTTGCTGCCATATAGTGGTATAGAGTTTTGCAGAGAATGTTAAAGATTTTAATCTTACCAACGTCTTCACAGGATAAAGCATGGAAATTTGTTGAAGGCCTTCCTATTAACGACTTCTCCCGTGAGAAGATGGATTTGACTGCTAAGGAGCTAGTGGATGAAAAGGAAACTGCGGTGGAGTTTCTATCTAGTGCATGACTAAACGATCATCAGAATGTGAGAGATGGCTTAAATACTGAGGAGTCTAAAAGTCGTCTCTAAATGCAACATCAAATACTACTCCTGGATCAGCTTTTCTTCGTGGCAATTTCTTCATTACATTATTATTATTATTATTTTTGGTCCCTCTTGCTAAGCAATGATATAATTTCAGATACAGTTTGCACACTTGACCAAATTCTCCCAATACCTTATTTCCTGTGTTGCATCGTGCATATGCCTATATTTTGCACTTGTGATAGCAAATAGAATTTGTTTACTGTAACAGCAGTCTTTCACCATAGGTTAATGGTAAAACCATGTATAGTGCGAGGATGACTTTTATGGTATGGGTTTTAGTGTTAGGTTAATAAAAGTACTCACTAATAGTTTTATGGAAGGAAGCAAGAAAATGTATTTCTACTCCAAAAAAAACAAAATAGAAATTGTTTCCTGAATATCATGAATGTGCTGTGTATTGATCACCAAATCTCTCACAACAAATCTTGCTAGAATTACATTAAATGTTGAGTATGCACTCCTCATGTATTGTGGCACTATCCTGTTTAGTTTGCTGTGATCAAAATACATGAAATGCAGTCTTCAGAAAATCATGTTATAAAATAAAATAGAATTTGGAAGTGATTTAACAGCATCGCTATACATTGAAGGAAAAAGCTTGGTAACATTTTGCAGCATAACCCCAAAGGGTTTTATTAAGTTGCTTTGGACTGAAGCTCTAATGATGAGTTATCCTTGCACTGGTGACACTTAGACTTTGTTCACAAAGAATGGGGAAGTGTGCCAAGTTTCTGGCTTTTCTCTTGTTCTGATTTGCTCTACATCCTAATCCAAATTTCTCCTCCCTCTCTTGCTTTGCCTCATTTGCTGCCTTAAACTTTGGGTTTTAACCATTAATTTCCGTAGGCTGCCTCCTTGGATATGCTTAAAAATAGCTTAAGTGAAGCAGGCAGTGAACCATTCCAAACAATGAACAGTTTGTTCTTCCTTCTCCATCGGTTGGATAGAATATTAAGACATGGATATAAACATCCGCAATCTACCATCTTTCATACTGTATCTCAGAGGTGTAGATGAACCATACTACAACACATTGTTCTTGCAATAGGGATTGTTGTGTAGAATTCCAGTCACTCCAGTTTGTTTTTCTCCTCTTTTACACACACACAGAGAATAATGTAAAAGCTGAGTTCAGATAGCATGCTAAGCCAAAACTAAACTACCTTACGGCTTGGTTTGATTCTGAAGCCCAGGACTTGTGGCTTCTAAATTTATTTATATCTTAGCATGTGTTATGAACCTAACCAGCTGTAATTTATTAAAGTATGGGTAAACAAACAGCTTACCATAATATACCAGTAACATTTATTTTCTGATGATGTCTGATTTTTTAAAATTTGGATTCAGATTTTTTTCTTCTGTTGGACTTTCTTCAATAAGTTAGATAAGTGGTTATCTAATTCCTTCATTTGATTTATATTGAAATACTTCCTGTTTATTCATCAGAGCATTTTTAAGTATAGCTTTTAGTACGACATTTAAAAATTAGAAAACAAGTCACATTGTTTTCATTGTTGTCATTTCATGTGTTTTCTACATTCTATTCATTTCATCTTCCATTCTATTATAATTTTTATCCTCTACCCAGTTTAATACTTTCATGGGGTGCCTTTTGCCATCCTTCAAAATAAACAGAACTGTTGCTAGTCATTGAGGAAAAACAATTCTCTGCTGGTATCTTTAAAATGTAACTGAAGCTTTAGTAATCAACTGATTAGGCAGGTTAACTTTGCAATTCTAAAACAACTATACAGTAACTTAAATGTTTAGTACTTGAAAAAGTTCTTTGGAGGGCAATATGAGCTTGTTGGCATTACACCATTTAATTTTTGATTAAGTGAAATGCAAGCAATATGATTAATTAGTAATGATAATTCTTAATGCTTTAAATAGAAAATTCTTAACTAAACCTGCAGATGGAGCTAAATAAAAGGGAAAAACAAGAACTGAAAAGTGGAAGATGAGTGAATTTTAAAGGAAATAAGACACAATTCCATACATTATAAATTTTAGAGTCAAGTATCAAAAGAAAAGCTAAGCAATAAAAATGCTCATAATTTATCTCAATTACAGTTATTTTTAAAAAAAATACATATTAGAAGGCCTCACTTTCCACAATTTCTTCATAAAGGCTTCATTTTATTTTATTTCCTGCCTTTGTTTTAGAGGGATGCAATGGCTCTGTGGTTAAAGATGCTGAAATTGTCATTTGGAAAGCTGACAACCTGGGTTCAAGACCCGAGCATCATGCAATGGAGTGAGCTCCCGTTATTTAGCAGTTCAGAAGCATGCAAATGCAAGTAGATAAATACAACTTCGATGGGAAGGTAACAGTGTTCCATGAGCCTTGGCATATTGTCATGCTGACCCCATAACTACAGAAGTGTCTTCAAACAAAGATGGCTACCTCGGCTAAGAAACGGAGATGAGTATGCCTCCTAGAATTGGACACAATTGAACAGGGCAAACCTTTACCTTTTATTACAGTATTTTTTTAAATGACTCAAGACAATGAATATATCTGATACTCCTTCATTCTTGTCTTTTCCTCACAATAACTATCTTCTAAGTTAGGTTGAGAAAGAATGACTGGCCCCAAGTTATCCAGTTAGCTTCCTTGCCTAAGTTGGGACTAGAACTCTCAGTCTCCCACACAGGCAATATATAAGCATGCAAATGTACATCAGGATGATGACCCTATGACCTTTCAATTGTTAAGGGTTACAACCCATCAGATGTTCCTCTAAGTCCCTTCACAGTTGGCCATACTGATGCAGATTTTGAGGAACATCTGATGGACATGTTCCTTTCCATTAATGTATTCTCTCAAGTTCCTGTTCTGGAACACTCAACAGGCTTCTGGAAAGGGAGATAACAAGGAATTAGAAGTACATGCATACATACTAACCTTTCATTTGAGGTGATGGATATTTGAGCTGCCAAGCCAGTGAGAGCTTTTTTTCCCCTTTTTACTCATATGCATGTTTTCAACCAGTTTTCGGGTTAATGATGAGCACATTTCAAATAAGAGAAACAACTAAATATGATTTCTGAAATATTGAATGTAGGATTCCACATTAATGTAGATTCTAGTCCCATTAATTTACAATTTCTGTTTTTAAGCATTTATGCTTGATGGCATGATGGATGAAGAGCAAAAGGATATTTTATTTTTTAGGAAAATTGACATTCAACCGTTATTGCAGGATTGTGCAATATCTTGGAAGTGCATTTGGAATTAGGAGAGAGATTGGAGACAGTTCAGTTTACCAAAATTGGGAAATGCCCCACAAATTACAACTGAGCAGTATAATTTTCTTGTAGAAGAATGTGGATAACTTTGAAGAAGGAATGAAGAAATAACAAAAGGAAAATGAAAGACAACGCGGTCCTGAGAATGGAAGAGTTGTGAAAAAGTAATCCCACCTTGTCTCAAAGGTGCTTTTCCAAAAGGCAAGTGGCTTTCTTGGTTTTTTTCTTTGAAAATGCTTCGCTTCTCATCCAAGAAGCTTCTTCAATTCTTGGATGGTAAATGAAACATTCTCAAGGAAAAAAAACCTAAGAAATTCCAGTTGCCTTTTGGAAAAGCGTATTTTCAAAGATTCATGACCTGGATGATTGAGAATATCCATAGACATTAATCCACCTAGTTTCTGTTTGGCATAAGATGGGACTGAAGGAAACTGACAGACTTTCAAGATTCTGTTATACAGTATATATCAATAAAGTAGCATTCCTGTAATACTTGCTCTGTGTAAATACCATTTAAAAGATATAGCCTAAAGTCAAGGAGGGAATCCAACACCCAGACCATATCCCTTCTGGGCACCAACTTCCAGTTAAGCAGGAAAAAAATGATATCGTAAACAGGAATTACCAAAGAATAACACCACAGGGAAAAGTACTGATGATATTGCCTAACCTGGTAATGAAACATTACCAGGTTTTTTTCCCAGAGAAAAACAGTAAGTGAGCGATAATATTAACTGTAGTAGGAAGAAGGAAAATAGCCAAAGTCTTGAGGCCTTAAGTTTCCTTTTTGGAAGGGAGGGAGGGAGGGAGAACTACAAATGTGTTCAGCATATACTGCTTTTAAAATAAAGCATGTAATATTTAATAAGTATTCAAGCAATAGGTTCCTATATACCTTAAATCTTTTCTGAATCCCAATCCTCTTTCTCTCCCATAAGGAATTTCCTTCCTAGAATATTAGGCTGAGTTGATGACACTTGGGAGAGTAACCACAACAGTTTATGGCATGAAAACCTGTGTTTCTTGCACCATTTAGACAAGCTGGGATCTGATATTGTAAGTTATGGGGCATGGAGAAATTCAGTGCTAAGCCTTTTCCATGGAAAAACAGTAATGGAAAAAGCTTCAATTGTTGACATTCTTTTGTCAGGCATTTTATTATCTGGGCTTATCCTTGGGTTATTTTTTTCCTCTGAGGATCAATGGTTTCCCCTCTCTGGACTTCCATTTACCAAAGCAACTCCCATTTATCAAAACAAAGAGGCCACAATGGAGAGTAAGAGAGATAATACAACCTGACAAGAAATTTCTTTGTGGAGTTAAAGTGGTAATTGTGTCTTTATGCTTATACTTTAGTACATGTGTGTTATATGCACACATTTTTTCCATGTCAAGCACTGGGCCCTAAGCTCTGACTGATCATAAAGACTTAGTCTTTTGTATCTCCTCATTGTCATCTAGTGTTTGTCTGGATTAATGCAGCCTAAATATAGCAAATATAACATATAATGAACCATGCTAGCGTATGCTATCGTCACTTTGTATCTGAATTATCTAAGGTGGAAAGAAATCACATGATTAGAATTTGTCTGTGGGATAGAGTTAAGTGCAGTCTGGTCCTGGCAGAGGCCATCATTAAGGTGAGTTGGACAGCTTGATAGATCTCCTCTGCACCAACTAATTTTAACTACTGTTTCTTGGCCAGTGGCAAAGGTTCTCAAACTTGAGGTCCTCAAACTGTGTGATGCCAAGCATCCCTAAAACAATAATTGATGATAATGAAAGAAAAGTGAAGTAGGCTGGGGGTTTGATTAGCACAATACTGTAAAAATTGAACTGGCAGGTTCAGAGCAGTGTCAGCCTTTTTCTCTTCCCCAATTCCCATCAGCTATATGATGAAACAGGTGGGGTGGGCAAGAGGGGCCCATTCCAGGAAGCCCTTCTCAGGAAAGCTGACTGCCAGAGTAGAAGTCACACACTGACAACAGCTTTGCCCAGCACACTTTTGGTAGGCAAGAGGCAAAGTTGCCAGTCTGGTATTTACTGCCTGCAGCTCATTCCCAGGTGGTTTGCTATAATCCATCTGCACCACAAGCAATGTGGGTCTATCCAGATGCCCACTGAGAAAATAATGAGCATCCCATCCCGAAGACTTCAGTTCTCCTGATACATCAACTAATCACCTTCTCCTTTAACTCTCTGCCCCAGAGCTTGGAAGCTTTCCTTATAAGAGAGAGCAGGTTTGGTCATCCTCTAAATTTCAAAGTAGGATCTTTTCCCAAGCCTGATGTAGGGTCAGCTAATCTTCAGTC